TGGCGGGTTGCATACGATGTCGCACGAACCCGGGGCTATATACCTGGGGAGATGGCCTACTAACTAGGTAAACTCGGCTAACTGGTTGGTCACCCTGGCCTGCTTAAACTGGGTCACAACCTTGGTCAGGCAAAACTCGAGGTCCTGGGGTACAAACTGGGGTATACGTGCCTGTAGTCCTAGTACACCCGCTTCCTCCACAGCAGTAGTGGGACCGCTCTATTTACCCTCTGAGAATTAATTGTACATGATGGCGCAGGTATGAATTCAATAAAAAGATAAATGGCAAATGGATAGATGAAAGCCCGAATAACGGTGAACTTTAGAGTACAGGTGCGGTGTAAATGTATAGAAGTATATATCTAAAGACGGAAGCAGTCATAGAATTTGAAAAATATTTGAATATATATCGGACTTCGTCAGTAAAATTCGGTATAAAGGTAAAAAGAAAAGAAAAAAGTATGGCAGAACCGTCAGGACTTACCTGATATCAGTATACACTTAATAACAAATAAAAATAAATTGTTGTGCGAATGCGCCAGACTCACTGAGAAATTTCAGCTCGTGGAGTGGTGAAAGAAAAACGGGTTAACCAAAATCACTTTGAACTCACCAATTTAGCACCAAATACGGTCTGAGTGGCGACTCGTTCACTAATCTTATCAATCGAGCTTCTCGCAAGGTTCCTCAAAGAGAGATCGGGTTGAGAACAAACTCAGTTCGAGAGGTTAAAAGTCAAAATAGTTTTATTACAAAGGATTATCTGATATTAGGCCAGAAACCCTGTTTTAGGAAGCTCTAGATTCTCGTAAAAGAGGACACTTAATGAAGCTAGCTAAGACCGGTCACACTTCTTCAGCAACAGGGTAGTCAACAAATTGAAAAGACTACCTGTGGAGTTAATAGAACTGCAGACCGTGTTATTATTCAATTCGGACCTGGACGAACGTTCGTCTGAACTTGTTCCCGAAGTGGAGGTTTGCCCATCCATATACTGACTTGACAAATATAGAAGAGTAGGAGAGGGACACTCAGGTTGCGTGCTTTTGTTATGGTTCGCCATTTATTAGAATATAGCCTGAAAAATCAAGGCTCACTTAAAACAATCTCTCGCCTTGGAGCTGAGACAATGTATCTTTTATTTTTCTTCTTATTTCCAGCCAGGAAGTTAAGGACTACTTTTCACAGTGGTGGGTGCCGTACTTGTAGAGATAAATTGCTTGCGAACTCCTAGAGAATTCTGTATATTACATGTGGGAGGTATAAAGTAGTGCCTGAGATCCCCAGGAGTTCGAACACAGGGCAACCGCACGGCAACTTATGGTCGGTGGAGGCCGATGGAATTGAGTGAATGGAACGTGAAATTCACAAAATGTGGCATCGAGGTAGATTGACTGGGCTTTACAGGAAGGATTTGCACAGATCGATCAATACACCGCCCGGCAAAATCCTTCCTCACATCAGGTGGTCAATGTGAAATTCAAGTGATTACCAATTCTCACCCTAACTACCTGGTCCCTACAGTCTTGTGCCATTCTATCGCGTCTTTCGTCCTCCTCTCCGTCTCCACCAACTCAGGAGGTTAGCCACAAGCCGTTCTCCATGACTCACAGTGCTACCCTCGTCAACCCGGAGGAATCCTCAGCTGCTTGGGTTTCCGGTTGATTCTGCTTCTTCTCTCTCCAGGTAGCAGATTCGAATATCTCGCAGGGTTTTGCAGGCTACCGTTTACACTTTAACCGTGCGCACGAGTCTGTCGTCGTCCGGGAGGCATTCTTTGATGATCGCCAGGGGCCATCCATCCCGCCGCAGTCGTTCATTTGCAAGCAGTACTATGTCACTGATCCGAAAATTCTTCTGAGTATCCATTTCTGACGTACCTGTACGGTAGATAAGCATTCTCGAACCCACCGTTTCCAGAAAACTCCCGCTAAGTAGGTAGCCTGTCTCCAGCTGCTCGGGTAATAGTTCGTGATAATTCGTGGTACCGCCAGTTCGCAAGTCGGTCTCAAGAATATCAATTCGTTCGGCGTAGGCGCGAAACTCGGGACTTCGCTCGCAACTGGTACCAAGGGCCCATTGGTCAATTTGCGTTCCACCTCGTTTAGAGCCGTGTTCGGGGTCTCATTGTCGATGGACTGTTGGTTGCATATAGCCGATAGGATCCTTCTCACCAACCTTATCATCCGTTTCCAAACCCCACTTCTATGGCTAGCGTACGGAGATTGAAGTGCCATTGGATAGTTTGGTGTGTCAGTCGCTAGTTCGCTCTGATCGACTCGGGACAGCCACCTTTGCAGCTGGTTCGACGCACCCCCGAAAGTTGAACCGTCGTCGGAATAGATGTTGTTCAGGGCTTCGCGCCTGCCGATTAGCCTTTGGAGTGCCATTAGGAACTATTCAGTAGACATAATGTGTACCATCTCTAAATGCCCCGCGCGAGACTGCATGCAGGTAAACAGACACTTGTACCACTTTGCCATCGATCTCCCGCACTTGACCAGCAAGGGGCCAAAATAATCCACTCCTGTCTCCGCGAACGGCCACCCCCCGGTTCGAACCCTGAATTCGGGTAAGGGCGCCATCAGCTGCATTCCGGTTACCGCATTTTGACGACGACAGAACATACATTTACTGATGGTCCCCTTTATTGCAGTTTTACCACGCGTTATCCAAAATCTCGCCCGAATTGTGTTCAGTAGGTGGTTAGTTCCTACGTGCCCGGTTTGAACGTGAAGGTGGCGTATGAGCAAAGTGGTAACAGGACTACCGGCCGGCAGGATGATCGGATGTCTAGCATCAAAGGCTAATGAAGAATTGTCTAGTCTACCTCCCACGCGTAGCAACCCTTCGACCATTATAGGATTCAGCTTACGCAACGCGCTTCGTTGGAGTGAAGCTTTTTAGTTTCCTTATCAGCGGGGAGGTGACATCGCGTTCCACCGTCATGATTACCCGTTTTGCTTCTATCAACTCAACGGTCGCGGGGGGTGCAAGCAATGTACTCTCGTCCTTTGACGTGGCACTCAGGAAGGTCGGGCCGCCCAACCAATCGCGTAGCTTGTCCAATGATTTCAAGCCTTGGGAGCGGTGGTCGGCTGGGTTATCCGCAGATTTCACGTACCGCCATTAGTGCATCTTGGTCTCTTTGTGCACTACCGTCAGTCAGTTGGAAAAAAGGTGATGAAACTAGTGCTGACATTGTTCACGTAGTTTATTACAATGGCGGAGTCGGTCGAGAACGTGACGCGATCTTCGATCTTATACGGAAGCACTGCCGCAACTGCTTGGCTATACGCACCGCTAGCACGGCCGCGGTCAGTTCGAGGTGGGGTATCGAAACGCATTTTAATGGGGCAACCCGGGCTTTAGCAAAAAGTAATTCCGTCTTGCGCTCGCCGTTCACGTGCTGCCAACATACGTAGTCTACTGCTCCGTATCCCGTTTCAGACGCGTCGGAGGATAGGTGCAGTTTTCCCTTCGTCGCTTGACTGCTCCGGCTGAGTCGGCGCGGGATCCGTAGCTCACCAAGCCTTCTGAGGCTGGTCAACCATTGCTCCCAACCCGTCCGGTCCTGCTCGTCTAAGGGTTTATACCACAAAGTTGTTGAAGGAGGACCTTCTCCAGCAACAACCACAGTGCAACAAACCCGAGGGGGTCATATAAACTGGATATCAACGATAGCAACCCTCGGACGTCGGGATTCCTCTAGGGTAGCTTTAGTTAATAGATGAACTCGTCCGACTCCGCGCTCCATCGCAACACCAAAGGTGGCTCGATAGGGAGTGGCTGTGTGGTCCGGTTGAGAGCCCCACCCGCTTTGTCAGTTTCGGGAAAGTTGTTCAACACTAAACGTGAGTTAGACAATCATTAGGTTAGACCGAACCCCTCTTTCTCCAGTAGATACGTTAGCTGCATTACGTGTTGCGAGGCTTCTCTTGAGTTGTCAAAGGCGCCCCGAAAGTCGTCGACGTAGAAATTATTCGCGACGCTAGTTGACACCGAGGTCGGGAAGTTGTTTCCGTATTGCGAAGCTGTCCGCCGAAGTGCGAAGTTTGCGCAGAAGGGCGAATAAACCGCTCCGAATGGATGAACGGTCATCTATAGTCTACCACCAGCCTCTGCAAATCACCATCGGGACACCATAGCAATCGCAGGGCGTCGCGCTGATCCTCTGGTATCTTAATTTGGAGGAAAACGTTTTGTAAGTTGGCTGCCACTGCAACTGCTCCTAGCCGGAATCGGTTGAGCACG